GGCGCGGCAAGGAGTGGGGAAAGGTGAGTGAAGGGGGGTTCCGGTGGCATGTGGGGTGTCTTTCCTTTTCCATACTCTTCCATACTCTTCTGGGTCCCTAGGGCTGCGGATAAGCGGTGTCGCGTCGCTCCGGTGTGTGTGTGTGTGTGTGTGAGTGTGTGTGTGTGTGTGTGTGTGTGTGTGAGTGAGAGTGTGAGATTGAGAGATTGAGTGAGTGTGCGTGTGTGTGTGTGTGAGAGAGAATGAGTTGAGTGTGTGTGTGTGATGCTTGAGGGTGTGTAGGCGGAGGGATGGGGTGATGTGGGGTCCTCCGGTAGGGAAGTAAGGTATGGGGTGTTGGAAGAGGGGTTTGGGGTTGTATATTGGGTTCAGGATCCTGTGATGTGAGTGTAGGATTTGGGTGCTCTTTGGAGTGCTTGAGGGGTGTAGGGGAAGAAGGACTTGGGACTCTGAGGAGGGCTTGGGTTGAGCTGGAGGTGAGGGCTTGTGATTTGAGGGATTTGGATCTCACCTGTGGGACCCATGAGGGACTGAGTCTTTGCTGTACATGAGGGTGGGAGTTATATTTGAGTGTCTGAGTGATTAAGGGGTGTATGGTGAGACTGATCAGTACAAAGAAATGCCCTAATGGGGGGTTGATTTCAAGGTGTCTGGGTTTATTGAAGAATGTGGAAAGGGGTTGCTTGTGTGGGTTTTGGGACTCTTAATTGGAGGAGAAGAGGGGTGATTAGCTTTCAGGTATACATAGTATCATGGGTGGAACAGGATGGATGTGGGAAGGGCCCTTAGTTATGTGGCTGGTGAAGGTATGGAGATGAGCTGGTGGACTTTAGAAGACTTCAGGGTACAGGTTGGTGAGGATGGGTGTGTGTTTACGAGTGGATAAGGTGGCTGATGTTTCTGAGAGGTTAATGTAGAGAGAGCTTCAGAGCCTCATAGAGTTGTTACAGTGTGTTTTGGCCAATTAGGAGGACTGTCCACTGAGGTAGTGTGGTTGATGGGGAAGCTGAATGTTGGGGTTTGAGTTTTGTGTAACGTGTTATTTCTGGTAACTCATAGGAAAGTATGTGTAAACAAGAGATTTGTGATGGAAAGGGTTTTCTACATGCTTTAGTTTCCTTTTGGAGATAACAATTGAAGCATATGGGGTTTACAGGATCCTATAAGCTCTTGATATCCACAAATCCTATTTTAAAAGCTAAGGTAGCATGCTTTCAAATTGTTTTTATTCACTGCTACATCTGGAGAGTGGCTTTTGCTGTATTGTGGGTCAGTGGTATCTGTAGCTTGGCGAGCATTGTTGTGAGCATTCAGAGAGAGCAGTTTGGAAGCAGCAAATGAATACCATTACTGCAGTATTAGAAGGTAAGAAATTTAACAGCATTTCAGATTTGCTGTCTTATGTATTCAAGAAGAGGGAAAAATTCCACCTCCTGTTCCTGCAGAGAAGTGAACCATGCCTCAATTCCTTTTTGCTTCTTGTTGGTTGAGACTGAAACCACCAGTTGAACTGCATCACTATTAAGTGTTTTGTGTTTGATTGAGTCAAGCTGAATCTCTTTTGTCTTCTGGCATCCCACCTGTAGCTGTTTGTGACTCCCTCTGAAGCTTACCTGCCTGAGGAAAGATGCATTAGGTCCAGTAGTTATGATTGTGTCTCAAGCTATCCCATGTCCAGAAAACTTCAGAGTGCTTCAGGAGCCTCTGAGCTATAGTTACATTTGCTAAAGCTTTTAACTCTTTCTCCAGCAGGAAGAGCAGAACTTGACAAAATGATTGTATGTTGTTGGGTTTGAAACTGGCCTACAAAAAGGGGAAATGTGTCTGAGTAGGAGAGAAGAGAAATGCTTGAGAGAAATACTGATAACAGGACATTCTCTGTTAGTGTTGTGCCATTCTTAGAAGGAGACTTCTGCTTTTGATGGTGAGATAAAATAATTTCTTAAAGAACAGTGTTTGTTGGTTTTTTTTTTAATATAATTCCCCTCATGAACTATGGTTTGCATTTGCTTTAGTAGCCTTTTGAGTAGATTGTTTTTTAAGTCTAGCAGGCTGAGAAGTGTGGCACTCGTAAATTGGTTCTAATCGTCTTGTGCACAGGAGCTTGCATAATAATGTAGTAAAGTGTAAGAGGTCTGATTAAGGTGGCTTTAGTAATCCCTGTCTAGTCACTGGAGATAGTTGGCTGCTACCTGGGAAGCAAGGGATCGAATAACTGTGCTTCGGATGCCTGCTGTGGGAATACCTTGAAGAGTCTTGTTTGTTATAAGACTGCTACATATGTATAGTTTATGAGAGTCTTGCACTGAACAGTTTTCTTCTGAAATGCTGTTAGACCTACAGGTGCTTCAAAAAGTGAAGAAAGCTGTGTTTACTTCAGTCATAAATTAAACTACTTCTTCTGAAACAACTGCTTAAAAAAATTCTCAAGACTTTGCATACTTTGTGCCAGTAAAGTAGCTGGCCTGACATGATGTTATTAATTTTGAGTTTAGCAAGATTTGATAGGTCTTAATCAAAGACACAAGTATGTTGGCAAAGTTCAGTACTGAGTTCAAAGGCCTGCCACGTAAAGTCAGTTGCAGATACTTTGGGCTGCTAATCATACTGCAAATAGAAAGAGGCTGGAGGAGGGAAGGGTTGGTCAACCTGAAATAGTAAGATCATAGATTCACTTGGTTATGTGGGCACCTTGATCAGTCCAGTAAGTTTTGATAGTGTGTTCACTTAGAGGTGACGTGGCAAAATTGGCTTGAAAGTCATTAAGCTTTTAAGGACAGTGATATTAGAAACTGTTACTTGTCATGGGCACGAAACACCTTCTGATGTGAAAACAGTAAAAGTCTTGTGAAAAAGGTAAAGCAAATCCCAAAGCTTCATTGAGACGTAGTGCCAGAGGGTGGGCTGGGAGAATGTGGGAAAGGAAGGGAGAGGGCTGCATGTCTCTGAGTGACCGGTGCTTGGTGAGATTTACACAGAAAACAGGTGAACTAGCTGCATGGATTTATTTTTAGGCTTTACCCTTTTCTGTGGGGTAATGTTGGCTCTCACCTCTCTTAGCTAAGCCTGTGCTACACTTCAAACCAACCCTGGAACTATAAAAAACTAGTGGGTTTTTTGGTTTTTGTTTTGTATTTTGGGTTTGTTTTTTTAACTCCTCAGAAGTCCTTAGACCTCATAGCAGCCTTCCAGTATCTGAAGCGGGCCTGTAGGGATGCTGGGGAGGGACTGTAGTGACAGGACAAGGGGAACGGGTTAAAACTTAAACAGGGGAGGTTTAGATTGGATATGAGGAGGAAATTCTTTCCTGTTAGGGTGGTGAGGCACTGGAATGGGTTGCCCAGGGAGGTTCTGAATGCTCCATCCATGGCAGTGTTCAAGGCCAGGTTGGATGAAGCCTTGGGTGATATGGTTTAGTGTGAGATGTCCCTGCCCATGGCAGGAGGTTTGGAACTAGATGATCCTGAGGTCCTTTCCAACCCTAACTATTCTATGATTCTAAATCTTTACAGGTACTGTTCTTAAATCTCACACCTCTTTGTTCTGTTGGAGAATAGGGTGTTACCTACACCGACATTCCTTTAGGCGATGTAAATGAGAGCTCTGTAGGAAGCGGAACCAGTGAACACATTTCCAGGTTTGGTTTTTTTTTTTGCCCCGAGGTTGTGCTCACCTGCTCACTGTTAAGATTTGAGTCACTGCATCAGCCTTTCTCTCTGTTGGGGATGCCCCTTTCTTTTATACAGATTTATCTATTTTCACCAAACCAAAGCGCACGTAAGATGCCAGTCCCACTCACAGTTCGGTTGTGTAAGTCTCATTCCCTTAGGCAGCACACTTAAAAATTCACAGGCAGGAAACTTTATAAAATTAATCATAGATTTAAAATTATCATAGATTTTTTAAAAAATAAATAGATCAAGCCTTTTGGCTGATTACAGCAGTGATAGTGGGACCCTGCATTACAGCAGGTGTGTTCTCTAAGAAAGGAGCATTGACTGCTTCACTAAAGTCTGGCATTTAATTTGGAAGTCTGCCTGATACCAGATCTTTCACAGGAGAACACAGCATCTATCTGCGGGCAGCTGATATTTAGTGAAAGCCTCATGCCCTGAAGCATGAAGGTTTGTGTGCCTTGGAAGTTTGTATACCTTGATGTATGCAGTTGGTTAACTACAGGTGTTATCCCTAGCAATGAATATATATATATATATATATATTTTTAATCTTAAACTCTTGCTGTTACTGGCATTGCGAATTGAATAGTTTCATAGGCTGGATACATTTCTTTAAAATATCTTTGGTTTCAAAGTTTGGTGCCTTTCCATTTTCTTGATCATCTTCAGCCAGTTTCAGAAAGGTAAATGAGTGTTCAGTGTGTTGCCTCTGTGGCATTCGTCAGCTGGGGTATTTTGAAGTTGCAGTTCGTCAGTGTTAACCAGCCGTTGACCATAAAATTGTGCTGTTCTAAGCAGAAATGAGACCTTAGTGCTGTGTGTGGTAAAAACTTAACCTGTATGAGATGGTAGAGAAGCTTTATGAAATCCTGAACTAGAAGAGATGCTTGCTCTCTTACCTTCTCAGAAGAGAAAAACACTTGATAAGATGCATGTTTCAAAGAAACTTTGAGCATCTTAACAAATCGTTGGATATCAGGCTGTTTGAAGCAGCCATTCCTGCTGTTAAAGTTTTGAGTTCACAATGTGATTTTTTTTTTTTTATTTTCACCCCCCTCCTCTTTTTTTTTCCCTTCCTCTCCCTAATTCTTCATTTTATGGAGTTTGCCTGAATTAGAGCTGGTCTTTTATAGCATGCTAGGATAACTAAGAAACAGTGCATGGGACATCAGAAATATTTTGCATATCATTTTGTAGTGACTCTGAATGCATCTAGGAATTGATACATTGGATAAGAAATTTAGTTGTCTGATTTTTCTGTAGGCAAAATACTTTCAAGGACATGTTTACCTGCTGCATGGGAGAGTTTACATTGTAAATATGTATAGACATATAAATCATTAGTTCATTTTCTAAAATGTTTCCTTATTGTTGTCTTTCAGAGATTATGTGAGCTGCTGCATTAGCCTTCTAACATCTTGCACGGATACTCCTGGTATGTCTGAAGGACAGATCTCTTTTATGTTCTGAATGTACCAGGTAAATCCCAGTAATAACTTTGCATGGGACATCGTGATCTGTTAGAAGTAAGAAGTCAAGAGAGGGCAACTTTTATTCTATATTTAGTCCTAGTTGATTCTGTAAAAAGAGCTTGACAGGCTGTAGCCTGAAATTTATTTTTGTAACTGTGTTATACTAGAAAATAACTGCAACACTAGTGCAGCTATTTGCAACACCATGAAGATACTGTGTCAGAGGGGGTTAGCCACTTCCCTTAAATACCTTTAAGAACTTTGCTCAGCATTTCTGGTGCTTGAGGTAAAGCAGAAGGAGGAACAATAGTTTTATTTTTCAGGTAGGTAATTCCTTTGTCAAATCTCCTGCCTCACCTTTTTGTCTGAGAGGCAAAAAATGGATGCAGCTGTGACCTTTGAAAGCAGTTTAATTGCCTTTTGATTGCAGTGGTGTTACAAGAGGTACTCTGTTCAGTAGCAGCGGTGAATGAATGCTTACCTTGACATATTCCTGGCTAGCATACTTAATCGTAAGTAACTAGTATCACATCCATTAACCTAATTCAGTGTTTTGTTTTCAGGTTGTCCTCATGAGTACTCCTGTGGAGAATGTCCATGATCTTTTTTGCCTGTGTGGTGCGGGTGAGGGATGGACTTCCCCTCTCAGCCTCCACAGATTTTCATTTCAACCACGACTTTCTGGAATGCAGAAAGAGATTGAAGGCGTTATCCTCAATTCTGGCACAGTATCCAAGTCGAGGCACAGTAAAAGGACGTGACTTGAGCATACAGTAAGTTGCTGCTTTTGTTTGATTGTGTTTTTAACTTCAAGTTTTGAAATGTTTGACTTGGTAGTTAAACTTTAGGTATATTCCATAGTGCCTAACTCCAGTTTGAAAATTCACCACTCATGTCTAGATTGTAACCTCCCAAGTATTTTGGAACCTTATTTCTCAGCACCACAGCCGCACAGCTCCTACTCAGTTTAGTAAGCATATGTTAAGAATTGCTTGTTTTAGTTTTCTTTTTTGTACCAGCTGCTTTCTGCTCAATGGGCAGTACTTGCTACTATTAGCAATTGGAATATCCTGGACTTCTACAAACACCTTCTAAGACAGCGTCCTAATGCCTAGGAATTAATTAGTTTAGTCTAAACCCCAGTTCCTTTTCATCTGATTCTGGCTTGCGCAGAACTGCTGTGACTCTCCTGCATACTGCCCACTCTGTTTTCCAAATACCAGAAGGGTTTGAGTCTAGACCTCTGGCTGATGGATATGTCTTGAGGAGGCCTGAAGCATGCTGACAGTAGCCAGTGTGGACAAATTATAAATTTTTGGTTTTATTTATTGGACAAGGGTATGTTAGTCTTTATTTTAAGAAATTAAAAATTAAGCTTTAGCTTGTGATTGCTTGTTTGGTTAGCAAACATAAGAAAACTTTAACACTGAGCTAAAATTAAGTATCCCTTTTTGGGGGAGTGGTTGGAGAAAGTAAAGACTTGAACTTACACTGAATCAGTTGGAAAAGCAGAGATTAGCATTTTAATTCCTTTTCCCTCAAAGTGAACTTGTGCCCTTTAATGCTAATGTTTTCTGCTTTTAATCTTCTGTGGTTGCTACAGAAGTAGTTATGCATTGGGCTTGGAAATGAGTGCATACAGATACATGGCAAAAAGGCTATAAATTATTGACAGCTTGGAAAATGTAGTTTTACACAGGTGTGGTGTTGGTCCTCAACTGTGAGCTGGTGACAAAAGGAATTTAGGGAACCTGCGCAGTGTAACTAGGCTGTCACAGAGCTAACCAAAACCATAAATCCCAACTACATGGTATAATGAATAAATAAAAATATGATAAAATAGAAGCAACAAGTATTTCTTTGAGAGGGATGATACATGTAAATAGTGGAAAAGAGGAAAAAATACAGAGAATAATTATGCAGCTCCAAGACTTTGATTTTATACTGATCTAAAACCAGCTAATGTGTAAGAAAAGATTTCCTCAGTCTTATTTCAGAGATACTTACGAATCTGTAATTATGGTGGGGATTGTGGAAGTTTAGCTGTCTGCTTGTAGTGCTGACATCCGAACTAGATGCCCTGGCTCCCATCTTGTTTAAGGAAGCCTAGATGAGAGTGATTTCTCTCATCCTTAAATACACACCTGCGTTTTGGTCAGATGAATACCTTGTTTGGGCCATGTTTAAGTGGAAACTTCTGCATAAATATGGCTTCAGTGTTAGGAGGACCCTTTTTGGAGTACAATTTTTATTGTGCTGTATCTAATACGAACTCTATTTGTTACAAATGATTTCACAGTAACAGTGCTTGAATATCTTGGTATGTGCAAGTTAACAAATATCTCTTGAAGTTGTCGTATTCAAAGAGAACAATGAATATATCTGCTTACCTCCTGTGAACAAGCTTGCTTGGGTTTAGTTTTGTTTGTGGAAAGCCACTGTGTTTTCTTTCCAAACCTTCTTGCCAGTGACGTTTTCTGGCCATCTCTTTTCTTATTGATGTGATTTAAAGGCAGCCTGAGAAAATAATGTCTGTAATTTTTACTAATGGAGCGATTTCATAAAGCCTGTATTGTGATCTTTATTATGCCAAGGCATGCTGAATGAGTTAAGAATAGATATTAGATCTGCAGGGGCTGCATGACTGTTACAGCAGCGCAAACCATATATTTTTTTGTAGTCTGCTCTTTCAGCGCAGTCCATACATTTCACTTTGACAGAAAGCACAGTTTCCTTCTCACATTCAGTGTGGCTCTCTTACCTTTTTATGTTGATATTACTTTTTTCTTTTTCTTTATTTCAGTTTCCTTTCTTCTGGGGATATTGCCTGCATGGCAATCTGTTCCAGCACTTACTCAACCGTCATGGCGTTTTGCTTCCTGGAGGAGCTTCAGTGGGAATTTGCTGCTTCCTATGATATAACAAGTATCGGTTTAGCTTCCAGACCATATGCTTTTATTGAATTTGGTTTGTAACTTTGTTCTCTAATAGAGAATCAATTAATTGCGCATCTGCTACTTTTATGATGTTAAACAACGTCTCCTGGCCAAAGCCTGATTGTGAAAATGAATCTCTGTGTCTGCCTTTGCATGTGTAGGAGTAGCAGAGAGAGCCTGTATTTGTCTTAAACTATTAGACTGTTGGGTTTGCAGTTCCTTAGAGTGCCTTTAATGGATGAACAAAATGCTGTGGTGATTCCTAAAGAGCACAGGAAGAAGAAATCCTTATCTCAAACACTTTCTAACTTAATTAAAAATATCTGACAAGTGGGGATAAATGGGTACAGGGAAAAAGGAAGACAGAATAGATTATTATGGGCAGCTTTACTTATGGCATGACTTAAATTCACATAATGCTTGATAATCATGCATAGTGTTCCTTATTTAATCTGAAATAAATGATTTTCTTGCCAAGGAGGAGCTGCTCTACTGTACCTCCTACCTTTATAAAATGCGATTCAGTTGCAGTGAGAAACTCTTTCCTAGGAAAGGATGAGACAGTGCAGTGGTTAGCACACTTCTGTCCAGATTTCAGCAACAGTGTTAAGCTCATGCTTAAAAGATTGTGAAATTTACAAGGAAGGCGTATGATACACACAGCTGTCTTGGGTGGGTTTCCCTACAGGGCACATTCTAGGCATGATGTAATTCTATACTAAGATCCAAATTACTGTCTTTAAAAAACAAAACAAACCAAACAAATAAACAAAGAAACTTGAATAGGAATTTGGGAATATCTAGCCTCTCAATTGCATAAGTCTCTTTTTAAAGAAAGAGAAAAAAAAAAAGCCTTTTCTTAATTTCTATTACTGTACAGCATTTTGTACTGAGTCTACCTAAGGTTGCTGTGATTTCCAACCCTCCTCTCCTTTCCTCTCTCCTCCTCACCACCCTCCCCGGCCCGGACCCTTTTCTGTGTTTGAAGCTAAGATCCACTTGATGCCTAAGATCGTAGCCTTTTGTCTGGTAGCTACAGCTGATTTTAGCAGATTCACTTAAGATAAAATACAGGATTTTTCACCAAGGGCTGCTTATGGTGTTGTGTATTTGACACAGAAGTCCTCCTTAAGGAACTTGTGCTTAAGCTATTACATATGCATCATATCGAGTAGTAGCTGTGGTCAACCTATGCGAGTCTTCTAGCGTCACAATATCTTAAAGATACGAATTTTACTTAAAGGATAACTTAGGAAAATAAATGTTTTTGCATTTTATTTCTCTAAGCGTTTGAAATAGCTTGAATTTGCCAGTATCTTTGCATAATAAATGGAAGTATCCACAGTGAGGTACTTCATTTCTGGAGGTATGAGTAGTAAGTACTTAGAAGAATTCTCTACTCGGTGCAGCTCCTGTCAAACCAGCAGCCACATTTGTGGAAAGGGATTTGCTAGCAAATGGTATTAAATCTGAAGTGTGAGAGATGAAGTAGGCTGATCTGTATGTAGATGTATGGCTTGGATGTTGGTAGAATCGCTGTGGAATTGACTCTGCCAGTCAAGAGTTGCTTCATGACTCAAATATAGGTTGAATTAATTTATTTCTGTGCTTGGAGAAAAACCCTAATCCTTGATGTTGTTCAAACACAATGTGGAGTTGCTTCTCATATAGTTCATTAGTAGTTTTAAGATATGTGTTAAATCTAGTCTGGAATATGAAAACTTGTTTTCAATCCACTGCAGGCAGGATGTTGAGATTTTAAGTATCCAGAAGGGAGTGAGTGTGATATAAAATACCTAGGAGAGATATTTTTCTCCCTAACACAGGAGTGGAATTCTACACCTGAAATGAGTAAGAAAAGAAATGAAGGAAGCAATGAAAAATAATTAAAAAGAGTGCTGTGATTTGATTAATAATTACCTGAAGCACTTAACTTTTGCAAAGCTAATTGAAGCATGGTTTTATATTGTTTCAGATAACATTATTCAGAAAGTGAAATGTCGTTTTAATGGTGCAAATCGCTCTCAAATGAAGGACAACTGGGAGAAGATTGAGGAGGAGCTGAAGTTCCAGCCCCCAGTTCAGCTGAAACTAGAGGATATGGAGCTGATGAATGGGATGGCAAATGGTGGGCATGCAGGTGTTCATGTGGAGGTTGGTAAGTTACTACTACACACAGGTGACAGTAGACTTCCTTAACCTAACTCTGCAAACAGCAGAAAAACCTGTAACAGCACCAGTTCACTTTGTACTGAGAAATATACATATCATGTGCATGAAACCTAAGAAAAAAGACTGCCTTTGTATCATAGTTAACAACAGTATAGCAGGTATGCATCAGAGCATTTAAGGACTCATGGTAGTATCTTTCTTTCCAGCCTTAGACCATCTTTTCTTTATGGACAGTTGGTTGTAACTGGACTTCGCATTCTGCATGTTACATTCTTGTTCTTCTAAGTAGTTCTTTGTTAAATTTTCTCTGACAAAAGAAGCTGAACTAACTCCTGCTTGTTGCAGGTTCTAATAGAAGATACATAATTACAGTCTGACTGAGTTGCTTCAGGCTTGAGGAAAGAAGAGTTTAGAGGAATAGGAGCTGAGGGTAAAACTCGTTCCCAGACTTTCCATGTTGAGTTATTTTCCCTGCTTTGCTTTCTCCTTTTACCTTATTTTTTAACATGTAATGCATTTGACTAAAATTCTGAAAGAGGATATGTATATCTGTATAAACAACACATAAAGGCTTGATGAGGGACCTTTTCATAATGAAGTCTGACATGACTTTGAGCAACCTCGTCTAGTAGAAGGTGTCCCTGCCCATGGCAGTGGGGTTAGAACTACATGAGCTTCCAACCCAAGCCATTCTGTGATTCTACCTGCTTTTCGAAGTACTAAACTGTACTTATTTATTGTAAAATTGGTATCTTCCTATTTGTTTTTCAGTTGCATACTCAAAATCCTGCCTGCTTCCTGTATAAAATGAAATCATAGAATCATTTAGATTGGAAAAGACCTGTGAGATTGAGTCCAGTTGTGAACCTAACACTGCCAAGTCCACCTCTGAATCATGTGTCAGTTTTGTGTTAGCATGGTAGTTTAAATGCAGCTGGAGAACCATGAGCTTGTATCTACTCTTTCTGTGGTGTTCTTGGCTTATACAACACTAATAAAATGAAGTTCCTGTTGCTCAGTCTTGTTCCTGATGAATGAGCTGGACTCTGATGTTCATATTTTAAGTTAAAATACAAAGGGGCAGTGACTAGGAAGAATTAAAAAATAGAATTGAAAACATTTTGTTTGCCAATCAGATTTGCAAGTGCTCCTTAGAACTTGAAGGTTAAATATTTTAATGATGTGACTGGGTGTAGAAGTGTTTTGCAGTAGTGTGAACAGTTTTGGTGCCAGTAAACATTTGAAAACTAGTCTGTATCCACAGATCAGAAATACATTTTCACTTCCCCCATATTCTTAATTGCTTTCTTTTACTTTCCATCTGGCTTTGTATTTCTGACTGTTCTCTCTGGTCTAACGCAAAAACTCTTACAGATTGTTCTACCTTTGTTTTGAGTATCATGTTTATGATCATCTGTTTTCCTCAGATGGAGTCAGCTTTCCTGGCTTATGTCTCTCTCAGCATTACCACTTTACTGCTCTAAGTTTAACTCTGTGGATAGTGTTTATTCCCATATTAATGTTGTTTATGTTACAGCTCTTCTATGTAGGAGATTTCTTGAGCATATGTTGGAAATGTTATGATTGCAGGAGAGAAGAATTTAATTGTGTCCATATTCTATAGCGAGGATAGATCACTCAGTGGATTGATCAAAACATCAGTCTCTTTACATGTTTGTATCTGGTTCTTGTCTTATTTTGAGCTGTGTGATCACTCTTCATTTTAGTGTGAAAGGAGTCTGAAAAGTCAGGGTAGTTTTGTCCTTGTTAGTATATATGTTAATAAGAGCTTTATTTTTACTTCTTTTTTTTTTCTGCTCTTCCTTCTGTTTGTTCCTTCCTTTGTTTAACTAAACCAAGCCCCATTCTTGCTAGAACAATGTTAGCACTGTATACTTGATCCACATTTACACAACCTAAGCTGCTGTTGCAAAAGTCTCACCTTGTTTCTTGGTATTAGCACAGCTGATAGAACTTCCGGATATAGGGAGATCTGTATACAGAAGAAATCTGAAGTAGCTTTCTGTGAAGAAGGAGAGTTTTTACATCAGAACTGGCTCTGTGAAGTAGAACAACAACTTGTGCTATATGTCTAGTAAGCATGCTGTTAAATTATGGAGCATTATGCTCCCCCTGATGAATGTTTAGTCTTCTGTACGCATGCAGGGAGTCCTTCACAGGGTCCTTTTTCAGGTGTGTTTTGAAGATGTCTCATATTTTGTGTGCTTGTATTTTACTTTAAAATCTTTGAGTCTGATTTCATTTTTCACTCCTGGTGTTGTCTTTATCTGGAGCTTTGGGTACGTGATGCATTGTCAAACCCTTGCTGTGCTGTGCCTTGAAGAGACAGGATGGAGTGTGGTACTGACATTTGTGTCAGTCTCCGGTTAAATAGCCGGAGGCCTCTGCTCAGAAAATCTTTTCTAGTCAGAGGTTTCCATTTCTTCATTGTGTGAGGGTGTTTTCACAGGGTTGTTCTGTAAATGTTCAAATCTGCAGATGCATTTTTCTTGAGTGCTAGGTAATCCACAGTCCCTGGAACATCTTCTGTGTGGTTCTTTTATCCTGAAGTACACAGCTTTTCTCCTTTGGAGTCGTATCAGTTTGAAACCCAAATTAGAATTTAATTGTGCTTCTGCAAATTTGTCCTGTCTTAAGCTAAGAGTGCTCTTGTTTCCTTATTTAGTGTAGTAAGGAATTTTACTATGAAATTCTGTTTATAAAAATGATTGAATTCACACAAGCAACTGTAGTAATTTCTCCCTGGCAGTACCTGTCTTGCTTGCACTATGCAATTTCAGTTTGTGGATTAAACCTCAGAATAGTATAGAAGAAATAAAACTCCACAGCAAACAATTTAGAGATCAGTTTTCACAGAATCTGAACCATGAGTAACTGGATGTTGTAATCTTCCCTGCATGTGTGATAGTAATTCTTTTTATCTGGACAACTGGAAGAAAACAAAAGTAACTGGTAATTTTTACATAATATTATTTGCTACAGAAGCTATATATCAAGACTTGCATTGTTTTTCCCTGGGGAATGGTATCTCTTGACATGTATGGTTTGCAAAATACAATGAATGACACTTGAACTTGATAATTTTTCTTTGAAGAGACACTGTGTGCCTCTGAAGTAAACCTTTGACACAGAGAAGAAACAGCAGTCTTCATAAGTAAGTTTCCATGAGAGAGATATATAGCTGCAACGTTACTTAATTTATCAAAAATAATCAGAAACTTCATACTTGGGTCAGCGCATGAACAAACATGCTGGTACAGCTTCTGTCCAGCACACTGTTTGGACCTTAGATTTCATGGGGGAAAAAAAGCATGGGGCAACCTGTGAATTACAGGGTTACTTGCACCATTTATATACATGAACATGTGTATTACAATAATATAAAGTGATGCTTCATAATGTGACATGTATCAAATTGAATTAATGCAGTTCTTTTTGCAGCTGCTTTGAAGGTTAAATTATGGATGTATGGATGCATGCCAGACAAGGTAATTGCATCGACACTTAATAAAAGATACTTTATATCCCTATATTAATTTGGCAACAAACTTTTTTACATCCATCTATCAAGATCTCTCTCGAAGGAGAAGACACTGTCTTAGACCATTCAGTACTGCAATATTTAGGCTGTGTGTCACTGAAACAAAAGTCGGAGACCATGTCTGGTGTGTCGCATAGTTTAGCTACAGTAGTCAGGAGCTGGCTACATCTGGGTAGAAGGCTGAGGGTCCTGAGAATCTTGAGGGCTCATTCATTCTCTCCTGCATCTTACGGACGTTGGTGCAGGAGAGGATCTGGATTTTTATATCTGAGCTGCAGATTATCTTTCTGTTTACTATGCTGACAGTGTTCTACTTGTAGTGATCCAAGGGCAGGGATGAAATGTAGGTGAGTATCTAGGTGTGGCATCTGTTGTTGGGTTAGCGAGCACAGCTAGGACAAAAATAGGTGAGATTTGTACAACCAAAGCTGAATTAGAAGTGGCAGGTTCCAAAGTTAAATACACATTTATAATAATTGCTTTGACCTTAATTAGGTATGTATCAATTAGATGATCCTGAGAAATGATATTTGGAGGTGTGGGTGTTACGTAGTAGTAGTGGAGAAGGTGGGAATGAAAGGAGATACAGTTCACTATCTGTGAAAAATGGAGAAATGTAATCGTAACGCACTGTAAAATGTGGCTCAAAGACAAAAAAGTGTAGCATCCAGTTTAATTCCTAGACCCCAGTTTTCATAAAATCATAGAATGGTTTGGGCTGGAAGGGACCTTAAAGCTCATCTAGTTCCAGCCACTCTGTCATGGACAGGGACACCTTCCACTAGACCAGGTTGCTCAAAGCTCCGTCAACCTGGTCTTGAACACTGCAAGGGGTGAGGCAGCCACAGCTTTTCAGGACAACCTGTTCCAGTGTCTCACCACCCTCACAGGGAAGAATTTTTTCCTAATGTCTAATCTAAATCTCCCCTCTGTCAGTTTAAAGGCATTCCCCTGTGTTCTCTGCCTACCTGCCCTTGTCAAAAGCCCCTCTCCGTCTTTCTTGTCAGCCCCTTTAGGCACTGGAAGCTGCTCTAAAGTCTCACCAGAGTCTTTCTTTCTCCAGGCTGGACAAGCCCAGCTCTCTCAGCCTGTCTCCATAGCAGAGGTGCTTCAGCCCTCGGAGCATCTTTTTGACCTCCTCTGGACTCACTCCAGCAGCTCTATGTGTTTCTTATGTTGGGGGTCCTAGAGCTGGATGCAGGACTGCAGGAGGTCTTTTACCAGATCAGAGCAGAGGGGGAGAATCCTCTCCCTCAACCTACTGGTCATGTTTTGGTTTGACCATGTTTTGTCAGTCTGAGAGGCTGAGAAGTTCTGTGACAGACATTTCCCTGCTCTGACTAGGTGGTATTATCCTGCCAACTCCTCTGCTGTTCTAGCAGCAGAGCCTGAAAGTCCTTGGCTGTACAGCTGAGTCCTGTCAACTGCTTGGTTAGGGCACCAAATGCTGTGTGGTAGCTATGCAGGTAAAAACTAAATTGCTGTATACCAGCCTGAAACCTCAAGCTTGATGGGAAGAAATATTACAGTTTCTTCCCACAGACACAGTCAGTTACAGTTGAGGAAGAGATGAATTGCTGTCTTGCTTTTGTGGGTGTTAAAAATTTAAGGTCTTTCCTGGACCAGTGCTTAAAGCATGTCACTCTTCTACTGACCTGGGAAGAGTGCTAGGTATGCTAATCTGTTGTAATAAACGGTGGAAAAACATATGTGTGCACTGTAGTAGAAGACATTAATGCCAAACAGCTCAAGAACAAATTCTATTGCTTAATCTCTCTAAAAAATACTCCAGAGCTTTGATGGTTTGTAAATGTCCGAAGAACTAAGCAGGATATTGCAACAAAAATGATTTTTTAGTCATAATTGGTCTTCTCTGGAGCAAGCATGAAAGGTTTTGAAAATGTTTAAAACCTGCATGAGCTAATTTGGGTTGTGAGCTTTCAATGTCTCTCATATTTTTTTCTTTTTTCTTTTTTTTTGTTTTCCTTTTTTTAAGTGCCTACTTACAGAATGCAGCGTGTGACTCCCTTGGGCATTCTGTCACTTGTTCTGAACATCATGTGTGGAGCTTTGAATCTCATTCGAGGAGTTCACCTAGCAGAGTATTCATTTCAGGTAACCCTGTTTGAATTGAAACTTGTTCATGAATCAGAGGGGGTGAATTATTTGGGTAACGAGATTAAGGGTGGCTCTTCTGCTGCTTAGTAGAGCATACACTTTCTTACATAAAGTGTGGTGTTTGTCCAGGGAATGCACAACTGATTGCTCACCTGCTGGACCTCGTGTTCTGTTGTTTATTGCAACACATGGCATTTCATTCTTTTCTAGTGACATTAAAATTTGGAGGAATATTTAAGTCTTGCCAGGCTGGCTGGATTAGTTTTCATTTTTTTTTTCCATTCTTGTATTTTGTTCTAGATGCTTTTGTTTACACTTTCACATATGCTTAAAAAAATTACACAACTTTTTAAAAGTAGAAAAAGTGTCTTGATTGTATGGTGGCACAGTTTTATTTAGCAAGAATCATCACCTAAATCTCAGTTCTTTGTATTGCATTCAGTGATACTGATCTTGCTGTTTAACACTGTTACAGTTGATCAACATAAACTAGAATGAGGGGTACTTGATGAAATACAGCATTCTAAAATATCAAGCAGTACTTGCTAAAAGCTGTACCTGATGCAGTTTTGTTACTTTTTCATCTAAACAGGAGGACCATGAAGGAATTGGAAATGTGATAGCTTTTTTTCTACCTTTTCTAGCCTGTGTTTTTCAGGTATGTTAACTGTAAATAAAATGATTTCTTATTATTTTAATATAATATACAAGACAAAGTAATTTTCACATAAGCAGAGGAACAATTTGAGATTTAGTATCATACCTAGGTGATTCCACTGAGGTATTCCAATGAAGTGGCACAAGTACAGTTAAAGGCACAATTTGACCTTTGGCAAACTGTAGTTGCAAGCCATTACAGTGCTTTCATGTTTTGACATGCTAAATGATCTGAGTTCTTTACTGTGAGGGTGGTGAGGCACTGGCACAGGTTGCCCAGAGAAGCTGTGCATGCTCCATCTCTGGCAGTGTTCAAGCCCAGGCTGGACAGGGCTTGGAGCAACCTGATCTAATGGAAGGTGTCCCTGCTCATGATAGTGGGGTTGGAACCACAGAATATTTAAGGTCCCTTCCAACCAAAACCATTCCATGATTCTATGATTATTTTTGTTGACCTCCTTATGCAAAAAAAGTTTGAATGAGGAAGTATTACCTGCTCTAGATGGGTTTTTCTTGAGAGTTTCCTTAAAATACCTAAAACAGTGGTCCACAACCTTTACCTTGAGGGCAGTATGTTGTTTGTAAAATCTTTAGTTTTTATTCTGCCACTGCAAGAAGCTGCTGTGGTTGGGTTACTAGTTCACAGAAGTAACGTAATGCAACAGTACTGAGCAATGAGTATGCTGTAGGCATTTGGTTAATGGTTTGGGGACCCCTGTCTCAAAGACTTATTTATCTGTGGTACTTAAAGCTTGCACAGTGGCTAGTTATTGAATCATAATAGATAAATTGTATTGTCTTTCAGCCTTCTTACTCCTCTGCTCATGGCAGAGCTTAAAGATGGAGATACTAATTTGAATCTAAATACTTGATGCAAGTCATTATTAACAAAGAAAGGCTCTGACCTGCTTTTATTTTCCAGTTAGTACCTAAAAGCTAGAGAAGCTAAACAGAGTTCTCTCTTATCCTTTTGATTTATAGCAGTCATATTTACAAAATGCTTGTGAATAAATTCAGCTTAAATGTGAACTGCTTTCTGCATGCTGATCTCTACTTGTGTCACAAGCACAGCTGGAAACTGTGACCTTAAGTGAGAAAGCATGATCTGTTTCTGCCTGAGTTAAGAAAGTAACTCTTCTGCCAGCACTTTGAGTTTTCAGTTTTCACCTTTAAGGGTTGTTGCTTTTTACACATACTTAGCAAATGGGTTCCACCTGATCTTGAATTTAAAAGGAAAAAGAACTTTAAGTCGTAGCTGAACCTGTTAACAGAAACTGAGTCAAGTCTAGAGAATGAAGAACTTTACTTATCCCAAAAAAAATATGACAGAAGAAGATTTGGGTTTACTTTTTTCTGGCTTCTAAGCCTTTGTCTTGTAAAAATTGTAGGTAGTTTTTGAAAGCTGGTTCAGCTTTAGACTCATTTTAGTTCAGGCTGAGACAGGCAGGGGGGATGCCAGTTGTGCTGACAGACCTCTTTTGATAATCTGTGTTTAGCTGGTATGTTCTGGGTTGAGGCCACCACCCTGGCTGTTCTTGGAGGGCATTTCAGCATGGGAGTTGAAGGGAAACTTTGCTCTTCTTAGTGATCACTGTGCTGGCAGGCACATCCAGGAGGCACAGATGTGCCATCAATTCCCAGCTATGTATCTCATCTATATATGCATAGTTTCATAGAATCATAGAATACCAGGTTGGAAGGAACACAAGGATCATCTGGTTCAATATTTCTAGGCAAAGCATGACCTAGACTAGATGGCCCAGCACCTTGTCCAGCTAAATCTTAAGTGTTCAATGCTGGTGAGTCCATCACATCCCTGGGGGGGATTATTGGAGTAGCTGATTCTTCTCACTGTCAAAAACTTTTCTTGTATCCAGTCAGAATGTCTCCAGGAGTAGCTTGTGCCCATTACCCCTTGTCTTTTCCATGTAGAAATGTTTAATGCTAACACTGTCTCTCTGGTGCTTTTGCAGTGTTACCTGTACCTCTTCTATAGCTCAGCAAGGAAGATGAAAACATTTGTACTCCTTTTCTCTGTTTGTTTATGCAACATTTACTTGTATGGATTACGGAACCTCTGGCAAATAGCCTTTCACATAGGAGTGGCATCTCTTTCTTCTTATCAGATACTGACAAGACAACTTATGGAGAAACAGCCTGACTGTGGAGTATGAAAAAAGCTTTGGGTTTGCTATTCTATTTTTACAACTCTCTTTTTTTTTTTTTTAATTAAACTGGACAAAAACTGTTTGGGGTACTTTTAAAGATTTGTGACAATGGTTACTGCAAGGAGGATATTTCAAAGCAGCTTGAAGTAAAGTAGGATACTGTAATCGTGTCAAACACACGGTGAGGAATGTAGCTGTATTTAACATGGCATGTGGTAGTTGCGCATGGTAAATCTTGTCAGGTGCCATCAGTAGGCTTTCACTCCTTGACTAATACCATCTAGACAGCATTTTGCCATTTGTCTTACTGGCCTTGTAATAGTTTGGCAGGTCAATGTTTTGCCTTGCCAATGCTTCTAAAATATTAAACTTGTATAATGCAGTGACGATAAAGTGGGTGGGTAACATTTTTGTCTATAGAATTTGTTAAGCATTAAGATACTTGGTAAATGTAAGTAAAGGAGTAGTTTGCCGTAATTAGAGTTCAATAGCAGTGGAAAAAATACTGGGATGAGCTTGAGGGTAAATTTTCTAGGTTTTGAAGGAGAGGAAAGGAAAACACTGTAGGTCTTCTAAAAACCATAAAGGCTATAAATATCTCCTGGCTAAACAGCGCATTGTAGTTAAGTATGTGCTCATTGGTTAATTGCAAATATGCTTGGGGCAGCATAAAATAAACCAAAGTGAGTATAACTGATCTTTTCAGCTCAAGTGGCCTTTATTTCCTTGGTCAAGGTCACTCTTAGCATAAGGGTAATTCCATGTTTGCTTGGTCTGTACAGATAATAAATCTCCCAAGATTACTTATGACAGGCTACTGACTCCTTCACCTTTTTATTAAAAAAAAAAAAAAGTGTAGCTGGTTGGTAGAAAGCCATTACCAATAATGGAAAGCAAGAGCAGGTTCTCTTTGTTGTATAAAACACCTTTAGTTAATGGTGTTGAGTTCTTAGACTATGATGAATTTATGAGTTTGCACTTTTGAATGCAAGAGCTGAATAACATCTGCTGCACTGGGTATTCTTGTATGTGATGTATTGAGGTGCATAGGAGCATTTTAGAACATATGTGAATAGCACAGGCTCTCTGTTTAAAAAAATGCATAGCGTTTTGATGCAGCTGTCCTTGAAGGGTTGTAAACATTCAAACTGAGAAGATGTAGAGAGCTCTTTGGTGTCTTATTGTGGCATTATGGTCCTAGATTTCCTTTTAATTTTTTTTTTTTATTAAGAAAGTTTTCTGGTTGCCCCATTTCTTCCACCAGAGATGTCACCAAAGATTTATATTCCTCTTGCATAGTCCCTACCTCTAGTGGTTGCAAAGTGATTAACATGATGCAAAGTTGTCTTCCTGAGTTTGCAGAAGCACTTAACAAAAGTACTTTCTTGTACCTCGGTGAATTTTCCTGAAGTCTCATGATGCAAAGATGAGTATCAGTGTACTGCTGCACCAGAAACCTGTGGTGCTGTACCTCAGTATCACTTCTGTAATGCAGCTTGACTGCAGCAGCAATATCAATAGGCAGATCATTACAACCTGAACAGTTTTTAGGACAGCAAAAGATTTGGTGCCAGAGCTTTTTTCAGTAGTAAAATGTAGTTCTTTCTTTTCCATCCCATATTAATCCATTTACTCTAAGAGTAACATAATAAAATCCTTTAAACTGTGAGGATTCATCTAGTAGGAATGATAGAGGAATATTTTAGCCAGCCATTTAAGAGGACAACTAGAGCTGTGTGCCAGAAGGGAATACTTTTCTGTTACAAGGGAGTGGATTAAAGTTGTTTGTTACCCTGGTTTTCTGCCAGAGTGTAAATGGAGAAACAAAGCCAAAATTCAACCATTGTCCTTAGAATGCGCAGATGATCCCAGAGATACGAACAGCTTTCATGCTGTTCCATCTCAGTTTTACTCAGTAAGGTACCCTTTAGAGACTGCAGCAACCAAGCCACAAGTTTGGATTACAAGTTGTTTTGTTTTTTGTTAAAAAAAAAAAAGAAATCTGAAAAAAGAAAAGCCCAGAAAGATGCTAGTAGTAATTTAGCACTGTGTTAAGGGTACTGGAGATGGTGACTGATTGTGTTTTCCAGGAGCATAAGCTGGGTATCAGCCCGCTGGGTTACCATGGGGAATCATCCTGTGGGAAAGGATGAAGCATTTTATACTACAGATAGACAGAACTTCATGAAAAGACCTTAAGTGATGTGAGCCAACTCCCTGCTCCTACCTTTTTAGCCTCAGTCTGGCTAAAATGTCCAGAAGAGCTTTACCGTTCCTCTAAAGGCTTTGCTACAGCTTGCCCGCTGTAGCTTAAGGCAGGCAGAGCATTTTTAACTGGGTGTTGGGCCAGCGAATCATTGTCTGCTTTCTATTCCTCATCCGTGTATTGAGCTGATTGGAAGAGACTGTAATGTTCTAATACCTCCCCAGCATCTGTTTGCTTTATCATAAATCAAATACATCCTCATTCCAGGTGACGTTAGCAACAGCTATGCAATAAGAGTGGTAGAACAGGGTGTTTAGATAGCTTGTGTATTTAACATAGGATAAATTCAGGTTTTTTTTAGTATTTTCTTTTTCCTGATATTTATTTTGATAAAATCAGACAAAAGCAGTTGGTTCAGTTCTGCCTTCATGTATTTTATTTTTATTTTTATTTTTTACTAAATGAACGAAGCTCTGATTTGCCGTTTCATCTTAATCCCGTTGCAACCTCCTTTTTTGTTTTTGCTTGTTTTCCTGTATTATGTGTAAATCATGTTAAGGAATCTGTGTGAATTAATACGTGTGTGTTAGTATCTGTGCACTTAGTAGGTTTGAATTGTGGTTCCAGGATGAGGCAGAGCATGCACAGTTGGACCAATTTTTTTTTCTTTTATTTTAATGTTAGTATTTAGAATAGCTCCTACATCTATGGTATTTATATAGTTAAATGTTTTCTTATGGTGAAACAGCAAGAGGAATAGAAGAGTTTACATTGATCTCAGTGCTTTAAGATTTAATAAAAAAGAATGACTTGAAGTTTGAGTTCATGAAATCTGACTCATAATTTGGGATTATGCCTGTATTGAATCAAATCCCCAAATAGGAATCCATCCCTTTTTGTTCAACTTTAAACTGTTTAATGTTGTTTGAATTGCATCTTCTTAATTCTGTCACTTTTCAAGATAAGTCTCTTGGAAACTTTTCCTCACCCAGCAGCTCAGCACAGGAACATTCACAAAGAATAAACTTCATTAATTTAAAGATTTGCAGTGCTTTAGGTGCTTTATGAAGCTGATAATTTTCTGTGGATTTTCCTTCCTTTTTACTTTCTCTCAAAGACCTGTTAAGTTTGTAGACGGTGGGCTGGTACCTTTTTAGACATTTTTGCACTGTATTAATAACTGAACCTGTGTAAATGTGTATAAAATAATTTTGCATGTATATGTATATATGTACATATATCTAATAAATGGCTTTTTTGTAAGGGTTGTCTTCATTTATAGTTTTGAAATAGGGGGTTATATTAGAAACAAGGTTGAGTGGCTGTTTCATTTTTGTGTACATCTTCAGTGTATCATTTGGAAGTGTTCAAAATACTTTGTTAAAGAGAACTGAGATTATTTTTAAAGAGCTTCAAAATCAGGGTGATTGGAAATGTTGTCATAGTGCACCCTGTATGCGATCTCTTACAGAAGGAAGTATCTGTCAGAACTCGGGGTGTCTTTCTCTGAGATAGCATGCTCTCTGATACCTGTTAGGATTTTTATTCAGTCTTCTATACACTGAAAAGCGACTTATATATAAATATTTATATATATTTATATTTATAAATATGTCTCTAGAAATTGCTTATCCAGGCAACACATCGGAGTATGCTGTGATATAATCTCTTTGTAGCTTTAACAGTCTTGCTTTCAACTTTCAGACATCATGTTATAGAGGCTTTTCCTGCAAAACTTGCATTTTGAAGTGTGTGTAGCAAGGTGTAACACAGTCTTGTGGGTCCTTTTCCAGCTGCTTGGCAATGAGTAGTGGAGATTTTGCAAATTGATGTTAGATTTTTAGCCTAGTCTCTTAATGGAAATAGGGCTATTAGTTAGTCCAACCAGTCAGTCCCTACTGAGAGCTTGTGAACTCTTTTTTGGCCAATTTCATCCTCCTTTGATAATGTCTCTGAAGGTGGCAATTCTTCAGGACTTACAGAAATGAATGGCCTGATGTGACAAAACAGTCACCTTTCCCACCACCAGAATTTAATAGGTTCAGGTGTCAGCAGATGCACTTCAGGAGAGCAATGCTTTGAACAGCAGCACTCATAGAGGACCCTGACTAATATGGGGCACCAAAGAGTTGGGTGAAAATCAAGCCGGAAGAAACCAGGCTTAAGGAACTACTGCTCCCTGGTCCTCTGCAGTAACAATCTGTCACAAGAGCAAAACATGGTGGGTAAAGGGCTGTGTTCTTTTGCTGGTTTCCAGTATGTAAAAAGTGAAATCTTTTCTAATTTGAGGTGTATTCTTTATCTAGGAAGGCAGTTGTGGGTAAAGTGGATCTGGGAGAAACTGCAAATCCTTTAGTATTATACTTCTGCTTTAAAGATATATCCCACTCATTGCCTTGATTTGGCCTTTTAGCCTTGGATCTTGCTGGGCTGCAGGTTTGCAGCATGGAAATGTCAGCAGTAGGTTTGAGATACAGTGCTGCAGCACTCACCACTGTACTCAGATGAGAAGGAGAAGCCTGCTTCTACCCCTGTAATGAGGCAAGAGGCAGAGCAATGGGTTGTGCGAACAGTAGGTAGTAATAAGCAAAA